TTAGGCCTCAATTGGAATAATTGGAAAATTGAATAATTCCTTGCATTCGTAAGAGTTTCAGATATTTCAATCCTGATAAAGTCATTAACGTTTTTTTACATTTATTAAATAAAATATTTAGAGTATCAAAATTTAAATAATCCGATGAATTATTTGGTTAATAATCATAATCAATAATTAAGTTATTCTGATTGTCAGTGTAATATACACTCAAGAGCCAAAACATTATGACCACCTGTCAATAACGAGTTGGCCCACCTTTGGCGAGCAACACAGCTTCAACCCGCCTTGGCATGGATTAATACCAGTTAAATACAACTTCCACCTGATCACGTGCCTTCCACGTCATCCAGGCGAGTTCATTGCAAAATGTAGGGGTGGTCATAATGTTTTGGCTCTTGAGTGTAATAATAATAATAATTATTATAGTACAATGATAATTGAAATATCTGGTTTGTCAGCATTTAGATAGTTGCAACTTTTAATGAGCAAATTTTTTGAACCCTGAATAAACGAACTTTAAATATTTTAAAACATAAATCTAGGATAAAAATGGATTTTCTTCTCTCTAACAAATAAATACTAGTAAATTGAATTATTGGTACGTAAAATTAAGGATCATAATGTGGATAATGAATGCTTTGCATTAGTATGAATTTAACCCTGAACTTATTTTAGCCCTGATACAATCATTAACGTTTTTTTTTTACATTCTTGGAGAGTATTGCGAAGAGGGGTGTTTCTGAACTTGGAACAATTCCGCATAAGAATGCTGTTTCGATCGCATTCGCGTCTGATGGAAGTGTGCTTTCTCTATTTATCACATTAAGAAAAATAGGCAATCTCCGAACAGCAGCAAAGAACATTCCTCACTGAAGCAAACCAAACCGACCGCCTACACGCCAAAGGGGGCAGGCAGTGGGAGGGGGGGAGAACAAGATCGAGGCGAGTAAGTGGTTTCATTTATTCCAAGCACCCCCCCCCCCCATCGAACCAGAGGCCAAACCAGCCTATCGGAAAACCTATGATGTTAAAATAAAATAAATAACTCCCCGTAAAATAAATATGTGGAGCAAAGGGGCGAAATAAAAATTCATTGATTCGGAAACTGATTTTCTGTTCTGCAGCCCACTTTACACCTTTTCCCCCAAAAAGGAGGGAAATTGATTTCTGTTCTTCTTATTTGTTTATTGCGCCATCGATCGCTTTTGCAGAGAGCATTGCCACGGTTGTCGGCACATTTTCCCCCGCTTTTTCCCTTCTAATTCTTCCCCTTTTTAGCATTTTGAGTCTGGTTCTCATCCTTTGGAAAATGCGTGAATAGTTTCATTTTATATCACAGTTTCAATATACGTTTTTGACGAATGTAGAGGTTTTTATACAATGAAGTTTGCAAAACAACCATTTTTTTTTTTTAGTATCAAAAGTTCCAGAAATTATGAGTTTCAAAATTACAGATTTTAATAATTTTCAGAACCTTTGATAGAGATGATTTTCTTTTAAATTGTCTTAGTTTCATTTGAAATCCAAACATATTCAAAATACTTTTTGATGGATGTAGAGGTTTTTATGCAATGATGTTTGCAAAGCAACCATTTTTAGAATTAAGAGTTTAAGAAATTATGAGTTTCAAAACTATTTCAGAAGGTTTGATGTAGATGATGCTTTTTATATCCATACTTCACTCAAAATTTAATCATATTAAATAACATAAATCATATTAATAACAATAATAACATTGCTGACAAAATTGTTTGTCCTTTTGGAAATGTTCGAATAGTTTCATTTAAATCCAAACGGCTTCAATATATTTTTTGACGAATGTAGAGGTTTTTATGCAATGAAGTTTGCAAAACAACAATTTTTAAAATTAAGAGTTCAAGAAATTATGAATTAAAAACTACGGTTTTCAATAATTCCCAGAAATTGTGATGTAGATGATGTCTTTAATAGACATATTTCACATATTTCATACATTACTGACAAAATTGTTCTTCCCTTTGGAAATGTGCGAATAGTTTTCTTTTAAATCCAAACAGCTTCAATATACTTTTTTGATTAATGTAGAGATTTTATAAAAGAAAGTTTGTAAAAAAACAATTTTTAGAATTAAGAGTTCAAGAAATTATGAGTTTCAAAACTAATTTAAGAAGGTTTGATGTAGATGATGCTTTTTATATCCACACTTAACAAAATTTAATCATATTAAATAACATAAATCATATTAATAACAATAATAACATTGCTGACAAAATTGTTCTTCCCTTTGGAAATGTGCGAATAGTTTCATTTTAAATCCAAACAGTTTCAATATATTTTTTTGATGAATGTAGAGGTTTTTATGCAATGAAGAGTTGCAAAACAACAATTTTTAAAATTAAGAGTTCAAGAAATTATGAATTTAAAAACTACGGTTTTCAATAATATTTCATAAAAAATCATATTAAATAGCATTACTGACAAAATGTTCTTTTTGGAAATAGACGGATAGTTTTCATAAAATTCAATATCATTATTAAATTATAAAAAGAAATTGTAAAAAAACAAAAATTATTCTTCCCTTTGGAAATGTTTGAACAGTTTCATTTTAAATCCAAACAGTTTCAATATATTTTTTTGATGAATGTAGAGGTTTTTAGTTTCATTTTAAATGAAGAGTTTCAAGAACTTTTTTTAAAATTAAGACTGAAGAGTTCAAGAAATTTTTAAAATTAGTGAATTTAAAAACTACGGTTTTCAATAATTTCTAGAAATTGTGATGTAGAACGATATCTTTTATAGACATATTTCATTAAATGTAATCACATTAAATTGTATTGCTGACAAAATTGTTCTTCCCTTTGGAAATGGGTGAATAGTTTAATTTTAAATCCAAGCAAAATAAAGATATTTTTTTTGAATAATGCAGATGATTTTATAAAATAAAGTTTGCAAAACAACAATTTTTAGAATTAAGAGTTCAAGAAATCATGAATTTCAAAACCTACGGTTTTCAATATTTTCCAGAAGTTTTGGTGTAGATGATGTCTTTTATAAACATACTTCATAAAAATTTAATTACCAATAAATAGTATTACAGACAAAGTTTATTTAACACTATTAATAAAATTATATGATAAAATTCATCCAACACTGTATTGGAAGATATTAGCGGAATATAAACAACATTATGATGTATTGTGACTGTGGATTGAACGAAGTAGAATGTTAATTTTAATTTTATTAATGGCACAATATATTGATGACTAAAAGAAATCCATTCATCACTATATTGCAACACGATCATCATCATCTTTAATGGATGGTGGACCAATGCCGTCTACCTGCTGCCAGGTTTCGAGACATGAGATGTTTTTCTTTTTACACGGTAGGTCAGACAGCTCTACGCTGTACAGTCATATTAGATCAGGACCTACGGTTTAAAAGGATTCCGAACCACTACAAACATCAATTACGCCGCTGGGACTCGAACTCAAACTCTGTGGCACCGAGCCTCAGAGCACTAATTACTCAGCCATCAGGCAAAAATAGTATCACTGGCAAAGTTTATTTAACACTATATTTTTTTCCAATGCAGCTGGCAAACAGATATGGACGTCTTGGATGCCTTAAGGCAAGTGCTGCACAGACATTACTCATTTTGCATTACCCAGGGGCGCGTGTAACTTGAAGATGCGGACGCGGAGTAACAATGCCCCCGCAATGCTTACGATCCTATTAGGACCGGGACCTACGATTTAAAGTGGATTCGAACCAATACAAACATCCATGGCACCGTCAGGACTCGAACCCGAAACCTGTGGTACAGAGCGCCAGAGCGCTAGCCACTCGGCCATTCAGGCCCCATTTAACACTATATTTAATTATTAATAAAATTATGTGAAAAAATCATCCAACACTCTATTGGAAAATATTAACGGAATACAAACAGCATTTTGTTGCATTATGATTGTTGATTTGACGAAGATAAGGATAAGTATATTTTATCAATGACACAATATAATGATGACTAACAAAAATCGATTCATCGCTTTATTTTAATTATTCATTTTTACAAATTGACAAAATTCGTGTTGCATCAACAGTAAGATTCAATTATCATTATTCTACATTCGGGCAATTCGCCTATGATTTCATTGCATCATTGACACAGTTCGAAATATTTATATCCCAATTTTAATGAAATTAAACGATTATTTAATTAAGTTCAATATGCATTTTATTGCACCATTGATAAATTTCAAATATGAATGACTGAACAAAATATGAGTAAGTATTCAAAAATAATCAATTTACTAATTAAAGTTCGGAGTTTGATAAAAAAGAAAGCCTATTTTATTAAACTAGACATTTATAGATCTATGGATTTTTTTCATTTAAGGTCGAATTAATAATTGTTTAATAAAATCTAATTCTCCGTAACATACAATAATCTCCACAAATATTGACTAGGTTATATTTTTTTTTTATAAAAAAAAAAAAAAAAAAATAAATAAATAAAAAAATAAAAATAAATAAATAAATAAAAATAATAATAAAAAACTAAACAAAAATAAAAAAAATAATAAAAAAAATAAATAAATAAAAATTAAAAAAATAAAAAAAATTTAAAAAATAATGAAAATAAATAAATAAATAAAAATTAAAAAAAAAAACTGCTTAGAAAAATGATAATCCACTATTTTCAGTAACCAGTATCATTTTAGAATTACTAATTTTTAAAATCACTATATTAACAATTTTTTTTTGAATGATAGTTATAAATAACAATTTTCCACGAAAAAAATATTTCCAAACAACTTCAGATTCCTACTGTGTTATAGATTAGATGTAACAAAATATGTTGACGTTGAAAACGATACTTTTTGTCTTGTAGCTTTGTGTCTTGTAAAGAGGTTTGTCAAGACAAATAATGTCCAATTCCTTTGGGTCTAATATATATTGCCTCCATTACCAAAGTTATACTCCTACTATATACTGTATATACTGAATATGTAGCCAACGGCCATACCATGCTGAATATACCGGTTTTCGTTAGTCACCGAAGTCAAGTATCATTGGGCGCGGTCAGTACCTGTGGGGCGGGTGACCACCGGGAACACCGCGTGCCTTTGGCATTCACAAATTTGGGACCTGAATAGCCGCCGAGTGTTCTAGCGCTCTGGCGCTCGGTGCCACAGGTTTCGGGTTCGAATCCCACCGGTGCCATAGGTGTTTGTAGTGGTTCGAATCCACTTTAAGCCGTAGTTCCCGGTCTCCCTATGACTGTAAGAGCGTCACGGAGCCAAAGTCAGACTTCTACCTACGGGTGCTCCATCACAACAGAAGCTGCTTCCCTTCCCTTCAATCATGAGTACGTATGTGGCTCGGGCTTGGTCAGCCAAGTGGGATAAGAAACAACAACAACAACAACAACATACTGAATATACTACTACTGAAATCTCTGGTAATGAGTATACTCACACGAGTATACTGCATACTAACTCCTATAGAGTTATACCATACTTTCCTTTCCCCTTCCCTCAAACAAAAAACGAAGAAATTGTTCTTTTCGAACGAATTAAGAACAGATAATGCAAATTTCAAACGAAATATGACTGAGTAATTAAAAATAATCAATCAATCAATTAATTAATTAAATTTCAGAGTTTGGTGCAATGGAAAATATTTATTACAAAAATAAACATTAGAGGTCTATGGAGTTTTTTCACTTAAAAATCCTATTGATAATTTTTTAATAAAATCTAATTCTTCCATAACATACTATACAATCGCCAATTATAAATATTGATTCGGCTATGTTTTTTTTTTTATTTGGCAAATAAATAAATGAATAACATTTAAAAATAAATAAAAATAAAAAAATAATATAAATAAAAATAAAAAATAAAATATATAAATAAAAATAAATAAAAACTACTAAAAATTGATAATTCAATATTTTTAGTAATTCCTCCATATCCAGATTCGGATATGTTTTTCAATTCTTTCTATTAACTCGCACTCTCCCTATATATATATATATCTTGTTCAAATTTTCAATCTTTAATAAAATACTTTTTATTCATCCACTCCAGTTCAAATACATTTTTTTTTAACTTGTAGTGGATGACACTTGATGTTGATACTGTTTTTTCAAATATTAATTCAGTAATTAAATTTAATAAATTAATTTAATTTTTTTAGATTTAAGTTGCATATATCTACCAATAGAGGGCGCTTGATAAACTTAAAAATGAATGAAAATTATTTTATAAAGGACTTTCTTAAATATAGTGAAAAAAAACAGGAATTGACTTCAAAAAAAAAAAAAAAAAAAAAAAATTATATTACTTGTTTACATTGAAAAAAATAAAGAAATAAAAAAATAAAGAAATAAATAATATACAAATAAAATAAATAAATTAATAATATACAAATAAAAAAAATAAATAAATAAAACTAAGTAACATTTTAGAATCCCGAAACTTGTAAAATATCTATGCAAATTCATTTAAAATCACTATATTAACAATTTTTTTTTTTTTTGAATGATAATTCCAAATAACAAATTTTCATGAAAGATATTTGCAAACACCTTCATATTAATAAAGCTTCTTTTTCATACTGTGTTATAGATTAGATGTAACAAAATATGTTGACATTGAAAAAAACGATACTTTTTGTCTTGAAGTCTTGTGTCTTGTAAAGAGATTGTCAAGACAAAATAATGTCCAATTCCCTCGGGTCCAATATACATTGCCTCCATTAAGCAGAGTTATACTCCCACACACTGTACTTTCCTTCCCCCCTTCCCCTCGAACAAAAAACGCAGACATTGTTCTTTTGGAACGAGTAAGGAATAATGTAAAAGGAGAATCTGTCCCTTAAATCTATTTCTTCTGCCACTGACTTCGCAAAGATAGATGGCATGACTTACAACAACTCCCTTTTTCTTTCCTTTTCTTTTTCTTCTTCTTTTTTTTTTTACATCCACCCTCAATTTACTGCTAATAGCTTCTTCGGTCTCTTGTTGCAGTGCACGCGTGCGCATCATTATACGTTCGAAATGGAAAAGGTGATCCGAAATCATGCAAACGATGTTTACGGAAAAACGCTGCTGCGTTACGGTAATGGACAGACGAGTGAAAAATGAGTCGTCGCTGTCGTCGTAAGAAATCGTCTGCGATTTAGATTCGTTGACCGGGGTGGGCCACATTTCGAAATCGTTTTGAAAAAGGGCGTTTGTCGTTTGGAATTCGAGAAGAGGGCCTTCAGGGGGTGGAGGGGTGCTCTTATTTGAATGGCAGTTCATCTATTATCTAGAAGTCGGGTTTTATTCGGAAAGATTGAAAAATAAACCTGTCGCTGTTGGAGAAGTACAGCCCGTTATGTTTCTTTTTCGTTCTATTTTTTTTTTTTTTATTTTAAATGTTCGAAATGGTAGTTTATTCGAAAGTGGAACCACTGAGTAGGTTGGAAGGAAATATTTCTTTTGAATTTACATTAATTTTAAAAATGTGCATTCCTTTCTACTTTTGTTTAAATCTGTGCTAATACCTATATCATTCATTTCCATCTATTAGCTCACACACTCCTCACATATATCTTGTTCTGAATTTTCAATCGTTAATAAAATATTTTTACCCTATCCACTCAAGTTCAATACATTTTTTTAAACTTTGTAGTGATTAACTGAATGTTAATACAGTTTTGCAATTAAATTCCGTAATTAAACTTAATTAATTAATTTTAGTTTTTTTTTAGATTTAAGTTGCATGTAGGCCATAGATGGCGTCAGATAAACTTAAAAAATGAATGAAAATTATTTATTAAGGTTTCTGCAATAGGTGATAAAAGTAGGAATTGACTTTTAAAAAAATTTATATTACTTGTTTTTAGAATGTAAGCATAAGATATACAATGATTTTGAAATAGAATTAATGTATTATCCTTAATTTTTAATGGCACAATTGTTCAATTTTTCTAGTTATTGAAATTATTTGTTAGAAAAGAGAGAAATTCATTTTTTGTTTTAGATTTATTTAACATTTTAAAATATTTAACTTTCGTTTTAATCAGGGTTAAAATTCACCTTATTAAAATTTTCAATTATCTAAATACCGACAAAATAAATGTTGACCTTGATAATCAGAGTAACTTTAATTATTCCTTGCAATTATTAATCTTATAATTCATCGAATCATTCAATTTTGATTATCTAAATATTTCATTTATTCTTCATTGTTAAAGTGACTGAATTATGCAAATTTGATACAAAAATCACATTTATTTTTAATCCTATTACAATAGCATAACCTTTGATTGTTTTAATATTCTAATTATTTCAGATCGTATTCAAATTATTTAAAATTATCGCCTACTTTTCTTAATGAGATAAAAGTAAGTACTATTCCATCAGAAATGAAAGCACAATCTAGTATAGAATTGTTCTGTATTCTGAAACATTATTCTTCTCATTACTCCACATATGTATCATTAGTTAAAACTAACGTTAATGATTCTATCAGGGTTGAAATGAACTGAAACTCCTACTGAATGCAAAAAGCAATCATTATCCATATTTATGATTTCTCAAATATATAGCTATCCTTAATTTTTAACTGCCCAATTATTAATTTTCTAGTTATTTATTTGCTGAAAGGAGGAAATCCATTTTTTTATTCTAGATTTATTCTTTTAATTTAAAATATTTAACGATCGTTTAATCAGGGTTTAAAAACATTAAAAATCCCAATTATCTAAACACTGACAAACCAAATATTTTCAATTGTCGGCATTGCTAAACACTTTCTCTTATTCTTAATTTCTTTTTCTTATTTTCACTCTCTTTTCTCTCCTTTTTCTTAAGGACTTTCCTTCCTCTTAAATTTTCGTGCCCTCCTCGGGATATCAAAGGAATCTTCGTTTCGGCTTCGTTTGTCGGGTTTTGTATAGCACCCATCTGTTTTTGGTATTCAGGTGTGTTGTCTTCTTCAGTTCAAAGAACATCCTGATAGCCAATTGGTTAAAACTCTTGGCCATTGGTTCCACAAGCTTCAGGTTCGTGTTTGTAGTCGTTCGGAATCCACGTTAAACTGTAGATGCTGTATAATTAACCCAAAGTGTTTTCAAAATGACCGTAAGAGCGACAAACCAAAACCAGTTCAAAAAAATGTATTTTGTTCTAGATTAAATCAAACCTAAGGTATTTCTGTCATTCCTATTATCTATATACTTGATCATTCATATATTATTCATATTATTCAGTTATCATATATATGATCATAAAAATGTTGATACTTATAATTATCCATATATTTGATCATAAAATGTTTGATACTTATAATTATCTTAAATTTGATCATAAAATGTTGATACTTATAATAATCCAAATTTGATCATAAAATGTTGATGCTTATAATTATCCATATATTTGATCATTCACAGCTCTTCTGATAAATATTAATGTAAAATTGTTTTTCAATCAAATAATCTCATCATTTCTTCTTTTCAAAATCCTCATTAATTTTTAACCAAATATATCAGTATAAACCTAAACAAGTAATATAAAGAAAAATTTTTTAAAAGTCAATTCCTACTTTTTTTTTTCACTATATTTTCTTTTTTTTTTTTCACTATATTTTTTTTTTTCACTTTATAAATAATTTTCATTTTTTTTCAGTTTATCTGGCGCCATCTATTGGTAGATACATGCAACTTAAATCTAAAAAAAAAAAAAATTTAATTAAGTAATTAAATTAAATTACTGAATTAATATTTGAAAACTGTGCTAACATCCAGTGTCATCCACTACAAGTTCAAAAGAAATGTATTTGAACTTGAGTGGATGGAAAAAAAAGTATTTTATGAACGATTGAAAATTTGAAAAAAATATATATAGGGAGAGTGTGAGCTAAAAGAAGGAATTGAATAAAAGTTTCATAGATTCATATACTGAACCATATTCATCTTAGGCAAAGTACCTTCTCACATGACAGTAGAAGAAGGGACACGTCTCTCTTAACAAACGATTCCTTTTCGAAAAGGGATGAGCACTCCCTTTATCGGAGGGGGTAAAACGCTTATCCCTGGGGGTGTTCTTGAGAACTGTTGCCATCCGATGGGTG